ACCCCTTCCCTGCACGCGCACAGCGGGCGCGCGGCTCAGAGGAGCCACCGTTCGCTGTCTCCTTAGCTCCTTAGCTCGGCACTGTCGGCTCCTCTCCACGCATCACTGGAAAGAGAGATGCTGTCTGAAGATCAGCCTGGGACGAGCAGGTGATCAAGGGGCCGGCATTTCTATAGCCTAAGATGTTTCGGGAGCAACAGGCGTGCCCGCTGAAGGTAACACGGGGTCCAGAGGACACAGAGAAGACCTCCCGGTGTCCGGGGTTGCTGTGCGAGTCCCGAGAGGATAGCGGATCGGCTGTGAGACAGAGACGCCGAGTCGGGGTGACGGGCTCTCCAGGGAGCCAGCCGGATAAAGTTACCGGGGAGTGAAGTGTGCGAGACTCTTTGGAATTATTAGAAAATATAAAGAACCGTGGTCAGACAGGGCTTCAGAAAAGGGGGAGATATAAGTATTCAAGTTCATTGTAAGGCCAGACCATTTATTAGATATTATAGATTTATACTTATTAAGCTTTGACATACGAATTTTTCTGAGTCATGAAAACCGCTCACAGAAACAGTTTTGTTCTAAACAGGAGCGGATTCCAAGGGGTGTAGAGGGTCACATGTGGGGTGAGGACGGGCCGCAGCCAAGTGAGTGTGAGATGATGGCCAGAGGTTCACCTCGGTTTTCCTTGAGCTCAGCCACTATTGAGGTTCAAATAACACATAATTATTATCCACAAGATAAGTCTGGCTCTAAAATTTCTCTCAATATAATTAAACGCACAATAACAAACTCTCGGGGGAACAGTCAAAAGCTGTATAGTGAGCATTAACCTGGAGTCCCGCATATTTGCGAAGTCAAGCAGGAAGCCTTCAAAGTAAAAGCACTTAATTATATTGAAAAAAAGGAATGAACGGCCCCCATTTAAGCCAGAGATTCTCAGGAGGGATGATGACAGTCATTGATTGAGGGTCTGCTATGTTCCATGAACCACATTAGACAATTTATACACAATTTCCCCTTTAGCTCACAATAACCCAAGGAGATGGGCACTGTTTTCCCATTTAATAGGTTGATATTATCTAGGTCTACAGTACACTGAGAAAGGTTGATATGTTTTATAGCAGCAGAAACAGCATGGAACGTGGGGACTTTGCCAGGTCCTCCTGGTCATGCCCTGCAAAGAAGCGTCCAGTAAGTGACTGGATGGTATAACACTTGTTGACAGTTCTCAGGCTAAAGGCTGAGAGGCATACAAAAGCACATTGATGGTTTCTCGGGAAATTCGGACATGCAGGCATAAAGAACCAATCCAGGTTAAAATAAAAATGTCCTTAAATACTGAGTCATACATATTCATATATTTGGCATAAAGTTTGTAGTAATATGAATTCAGTCAATGAACTGGATTAAATGAATGAATGAAATCAGGCAACCCACTGACCAAATGCTAGATTGTGTGGTACTGACTGTAAGAATGACAATAGTCCAGAGAACAAAAGCTCATTCTGGACCTGGGTAGTAGATTTCCTGAGTGAGGTGAGACCTGAGAAGGACCTGGAGGAATCAGAAATATTGGAATTATAAAAAGGAACTGAAGTCACACTGTGTGGAAGACGCACGGTGAGCAGAGCTTCTGTCCAGCCCCTCTGTGCCCAGCCCCCGCCCCCCCGCACAGCCTCTGTGAGGCACCCGCCTGCTCCATCCGTCTGCCCTGCTCTGGAGCTCTGTCCAGCCAGCTCTCAGGACGCCCTGATTTTGCTACAGCATTTTTGGATTAACCAGGAACGCCTCTGTCCTTTGGTAGGGAATGGAAAAACAGATTTTGTCCTATGGATGATTCTAGGCCTTCGCCAGCAAAGTAATAAACTCTTCCAAATGAGGCAGAAATCATGACAAGTCTCTCCCACGCCCAAAGAGCTGTGAAAAGGGCTTCCTGTGGCAATTTTGGCATTTGGGAGACCCTCTCAAGACTTCCAGAAAAGAATTCCTAGCAGGTCTTCACAACAACGTTCAACTCCCCGGGGAGCTCTGCTCCAAAGTCAAGGCCAACGTAGACACACCCTTCTCAGACCTTGAGGACAAGAGGGCCACACGAGACCCCAGGGTCTTCCGTTCACAGGGGTCTGCTTTGCCAGGGATCAGAAGAGCATGTTCTAGCTCAGGCTCCCTGACCATTTCCGGCTGGCCTTCTGTCAGAGATTCCTGGAATCAGAACCACTCTGTCGTCCCATGAGAGGGGATGATGGTAACCGTCATCTGACCAACTGCTTCTTCTTTACTCTGAAAAAGGCTCTAGACCATACTGTTCTGTTTCAACGTACCGTCCTCTTTATTCTGCTTCTCAGAAATTATATGCGACACAAGGAGCTGTGCTCAGCAGCAGATTTGCTTTTGGGAAACATAGCTCACTTTGGAAGTGGAAAAAGTGATTTTGCTTTTTAAAGGTTGGGAGACAGCTTCTGTTTTGTTACTGCTCTCAAGCCAGCAGCACCATCCTTGAGAGAAAAGACCAGCTGCCACCCTGATGTCTCAAGAAAAAGACACCTGTTAACTTCGTCAGTGAACAATGCCTTGCATTTCCAAAATAGTGGTCCAACCCTTCAAGTGTGGGGTTGCTCACAGCAGATCCTGAGACGAGGGAGAAAGAACAAAGATCCAGCAGGAACGTTGAACTAGTGCGAGGGGGAGTCAGGTGGAGGTTGAAATTTTGTAGTGGGAAATCCTATTATGAGATTCTGATGCCAATCTTTAACAAAAGACTTTCTTGTGAGGGCTGAAAGATTTTTCCTTTGGGATTTAAAAAACGTGGGTCTCTGAATCCAATATTTTGATGGAAAAAGTCTTGCCTTTTTTAAAAATATGTTTTTATTGATTTCTTTTAATTTTTTTCTTTATTGATTTTTTCTTTATTGGAAGGGAGAGGGGGAGAGAGATGGAAACATTGATGAGAGAGAACATCAACTGGCTGCCTCCTGCATGCCCCCCACTGGGGATTCAGCCCACAACCTGGGCATGTGCCCTGACCGGGAATCGAACTGAGTTCTATCAGTCCATGGGAGGATGCTCAGTCCACTGAACCACACCAGCCGAGCAGTCTTGCCTTTTTTTTTTTTTTTTTTTTTTTACTTACTATTAAAAACAAAAACAAAAACAAAAAACAAAAAACACCGAATCATAGGAACAGGACAGTAATGTAGGAAAAAGTTATAAGGGTCTAAAGGAAATATTTTTGGTTACCAAGATCACAGCATCTACGTGTATTGATTATACAACTCTGGCTAATTTCACTTTCTGTCTGGGGTATTATTTCCTGGTAAAAGTGGGGACACATCCCAGCACGTGGCAGGCCAGCTCCCCCTGAAGTTAACAGATCGCCCACATGGAAGCTGTCCACATGTGCCAGCCCTCCACCACAGGAGGAGCGGGTTCAGGGCCTGGCACCGGGCAGCCGAGTGGCACTCTTCCCAGAATGCTCATCCAGTAAAGAGCCATTGAGGGGTCTGGACCCTTTGATGTACAGGACAAACGACTAAAATGAAAAGCACAATGCATGTGAGTAGAATCAGAAACTTGAATGGAGTCGTAATCACTTCCTTAGTGTAGATCACATTATTTTTAATGTAACTTCATTCCGCAATTCAATCCTTGTCTAGTGTAATAGTACAGATTTCCATTTATCTGTTGATAAGTGAGAATGATTACTATGATGGCCAGTAAGTGATACAGGTCACTAGCATTGGTGGGGAAGAAAAGTGGAAAATTGTCAGGGGAGGTGGGAAGGGACTGTGTTTCATCAGGAAAAGAGGAAACATCTGAAAAGACAAAGAAGTACTGATTCTCTACATGTGATCAAGACAAACTGTTCAGTTATTGGGAAGTTTGAGATGGTACCTAATGGTGTAAGAAAGGAAATCTAAATCAGGCCAGGGCTTTTTTTTTTTAATTTTTTTTAGGGAAAGAGATATAGCAACATTGATATGAGAGAGAAACATCGATCGGCTGCCTCCTGCACGCCCCCTACTGGCGACTGAGCCCAAAACCTGGACAAGTGACCTGACCAGGAATCAAACCGGGACCTCTCTGTCCATGGGACGATGCTCAATCCACTGAGCCACACCGGCCATGCGGGGCCAGGGCTTTAAAACAGCTATGATTTCTACGTAGGACTGAGGTCTGTGGCACGAAGTAGGGGTGTGGGTCGGGGGTAAAGGTCCAGGTTAAGGGTTTTGACAGTGCAGCCTGGCAACAATGATTGAGTTTCAGGTCCCGCAGACTGGAGAACTAGTGCTTAGGTCCAAATACTGAGGGGGCTGGGAGGAGTCCGGCTCAGCCATAGTTTCCATCTGAGTGACCTGGAGTGACTCTTTCTAAAACAGCCAACCTCACTATAAAAAAATAAAAAAAAAAATGCCACTCTCAGCTCAGTTCTGTCCAATGAATAAACAGGAAGGGACAGTTGACTTAGACACCATAGACCCATGAAAACCTCCCTTTCAGCTGGACCAATGTCCTGCATTCCATCTTCCTCCATTTTAGGACCAGGATTTTCTGTATCTGAGCCAGTTCTACTTTTCAGGTAATCGGTTTTGACCAAAAACATGGTCTGTCTCAAATAAGCTTCTTATGATCTGGAGCTTGGAATTGGTCACAGTTTCTTAACAAGGTCACTTGGTCTACTTGTTAACTATCAACAGCCATCTGTCTATATACATGAACAATTTTAATAAAAACATCCCCAATATCTATGAAAAGATGCAACTTTTTCAATAAAAAAGGCCATTAGATTCAATGTCCAGTTTTGGTTTTTTTTCCATTGATCATATTTGACCACTGAGGTTCCACCTCAATAAGTAGTCTACATTGACAGCAGGTTATTTTAAATGTCTGTTTGTTATTTTCTTCAATTTATGATTATGTCTTTGTAGCAGGTAGCTTGTATCTGGTTGAAAATACAAATAAATATTTCTTTCAGTAACCCAGCTTTAAGTTCTCCCATGCTATTAACTCACCAGAATTAAGCAAAATGATGGATTTGAGGCACACAAACTCCTCTCCCTGGAGGTTCATCATGCGAAACCGAGACGATGTAGCCAGCAGCATGTCAAATATCTCCACCATGCCCTCCACACACTTCCCCTGGTTCCTAGGAAGACACAGGAAATGAGTATTAAAGGACAGAGAAGTCTCCAGGAGATGCGATAAGGTTCACATTCGTAAAAATCTACTGGTTTCAACACTGTATCCAAAAATGGCTGCCATTCTGTTTATGAAGCATGGACAGTCATTCAAATTCTAGAAGGCAAGTCAAAAAGATTTTTTTTTTTATCGTCACCCGAGGACATTTTTCCATTTTTTGTTCAGATAGAGTGGGAGGGAGAGAGAGAGAGAGAAACATCGACGTGAAAGGGACACATCGAGTGGTTGCCACCTGCACGACCCATCCAGGGCCAGGGCCAAACTGCAACCGAGGTACATGCCCTTAGCAGGAACCGAACCCGGTCTCTCTGGACCACAGGCCGACGCTCTAACCACTGAGCCAAATCAGCCAGGGCCAAAAGGATTTTTTAATCAACAAATCACTTTCATTTCATTTTTTTAAAAGAGATATATTGTTTAATTCCCAAATCTCCCCCAATAATTAGAGTGTTCTTCAACATATGGGTAATAAAAAAATTGTTAAGATTCAGGTATCTTAATATTTTTGCCGCGATGATAAATGGGATTGTTTTTTCAGTTTCTCTTGCTGTAAGTTCATCATTGGTGTATACGAATGACGTCGATTTCTTGACGTTAATTTGGTATCCTGCTACTTTGCCAAATTCATTTGTTAAGTCTAGTAGATTTTTGATGGAGTCTTTAGGGTTTTCTAAATTATTTTTTTAATAAAATATTTCCTGATCTGCTACTGTATTCTAGATATTGTAGTAGTTATGGGAATAAAAACAGGGCCTCTACTTTCAATATGTTCGTGGCCTTGAAATAACATAATCAAGTATAACAGACTTATATAAAGTACTTTGGAAATTGAGAAGAAATTCTAAAACTATGGGCTCTAGTCGGGCCGGGACTATTGATGTTGTCCAGGATGGCAGGTGAGAATTTGTTTAGTAGGTGGCATCTGAGTAGACATTTTAAGAGAATGTAGTGTTTCATTGAGCAGAAGTGTGAAAATATCATTGGAAGTTGGTCCCGTATGTGAAAAGGAGGACCAGAGTGAAATCATGGAGCAGCGTGCTGGAAGGAGAGAAATTAATGTGGGAAAGAAGAAGGTCAGGTGACGAGGACTGGCCTACATTATTATAGGAAGTGTAGGCTTCTCCCTATACACCAGAGCCTTGGCCTCAGGATTTGACCTTCATAACATGACAGGAAATTCATAACATGTAATATTTTAAAAAGAAATGACTGTCTTAGTATCATTTGCCTAGAGTCGTTGCAGAAATCAAATGAGGTCATACATGTGAAAGCAATTTATTCATCTTTTTGTTCACAAGCTGGATTTGGGGCATGATGTGTTGGAAGGGGACAGGAAGAAGTTAGAATATTTTATGCATATGCAAAGATATATTTGTGAAATGTATACAAATTTAAAACATGGACACTAAACACATTGTCCAGCACCTTATTTTGTTTTGTTTTCAATTAATCTCTCTTGGAGTTCTTCATCAACTGTTTTTAGCAACTGCATAGGTTTTCACTGAAAGAAAGGCTGTAATTTCCTTAACACTTTTTTATTGTTTGACATGTGGTTTGGTTTCAAGTGTTTTGCCATTACAGATATCTCATACAATGATAACCCTTATGCTTATGTCTTTGGGCACATGTATAAACAGCTATAGAATAAATTCTTAGAAGTGGAATTGCTATATCAGAGGACTTAGGTATTTTTTAATTTTGATAAGTAGTTCAATTATTGCTTCCAAAGAGCTTGTACCAATAGGATGTTGATAGGAAAATATACTGGTATAAGCTCTTTCTCTGAGAGACCTCCTTTTATCCCTTGCCTATCTTTTTGTTGGATATTAGTCATTTTCACATTGATTCTTAAAAGCTCTTTATATATTGTAGTAATTATCACTTTAACCTATGTGCTTTCAGTGGTTTTCTAATGGTTTGGCAGGTTTTTCTTTTGATTTGGTTCCTAGTATTTTTCTTCTCCAAAACATTTAATTACTAGATAATCAAATTTATCAACTTTTTATTTATGGCTTTAGAATAGTATGTCTTACTTGAAAAGGTCATCTCTCTTCCAATAACATATTTTAAAACAACTATATGTTTTTGTTTTTTTTGTATAGCTCTAGTATATACTTTTTATGTTTAAATCTTTGATCTTCTGGATTTTATTTTTTATATACACTTTATTGAGATATAATCACTCACTATATAATCCATTTAAAGATTTTGCTAAATTCCCAGAGTTGTGCAACTTTCATTTGGCATTTACTATGATGTAAGATGTGAGACAGGGATTCTGTTTACTATTTTTCCCAGGCAGCTAGTTTTCTTAACATCCTTATGGGATAAACCATCTTTTACACACTGACTTGAAATATGCTAGTTATTAAATACTTTTAATAAATGTATTTACTTCTTACAACTGCCCCCTAAGGTTGATGTTATTATTCCCATTTTCCAAATGAGGGAATTAGATCTCAAAACTATTTAGTCAAACGCTACCACCTACATCAGAAGAAAGAATTCCAACAATGAGATTTTCTCTGTCTTCTTTTCTTGCTTCACTTCCATTCATTCAGAAAGACTTTTTGAGGGCCCATTATGAAGGCTTTGCACTAGCCACCAGGTACCGAGAAGGAAGCCATGGGCCTTGTTAATAAGGAGATCCAGAATATTGACCGACAAGGCAGACAAGCAGGAAGGTGCAACACACCAATACATACCCCAGAAAAGGCCTAGAAAGCCTCTTACAAATAATATCAATCTCCCTAAATTTAACCCACATCAATAGTGAAGCATTGTCATAATATTCTTTTTTTTTTTTCTTTATTGATTTTTTAGAGAGAGAAGAAGGGAGAGGGAGAGAGATGGAAACATCGATGAGAGAGAACATCGATTGGCCGCCTCCTGCATGGCTTCCTCCAGGGATTCGACCCACAACCTGGGCATGTGCCCTGACCAGGAATCGAACCGGCAAACTCTTGGTGCGTGGGTCATCGATGCTCAACCACTGAGCCACACCAGCTGGGCTGTCATAATATTCTTGTATGAAAGTAAATGAGGTTTTATTTAAAGTACTTAGAATGGTATGTAGCATACAGCAGGGTCTATATTTAACTATAAGTTATAGACATTGGTAAATAAATAGAACCATAGATGTCAAGGGAGAGGCTGGCCTTGCCCCTGAAGTACCCAGGAAACAATTGCTGTGGTGTATTTTGCTTTGACTGTGGAAATCCAGGTGCATGTAAGCGCTACACAGGCAGAAGGAAATGTTAAACGCTACGTTGCTCAAGATGGGGGACAGCGGGGACAGTGGTCACACCAAGGGGAGAGTTCACCTTCATCAGAAAGAGGATACTAGAAGTAAGTTTTCTTATCCTATAGTTCAAAAAATTTTTTTTTAAGTAGCACATTTTCTTTCTAGTGAAAAAATAAACAAGGATAGGGGAAAATGTTTGGAGGATAAAGCTTTAAAAATAAAAACTCATAGCCCAAATAGAGAAATGTTCCTTTCTCAGTATAAAGTCTCTGTTTACTTAACAGACTGCGCATCAGCAGGGGAGCAGCTCTCAGAGTGGGAGGGAGCCTGTGTTCACCTGCTGTGAGCAAAAGTTCAGTTCAGAAACCGAGAGTGGAGTCTTAACGGTGCTCAGTTCTTCTTGTCCCTTTTAATAGTCCCACATTTTCTCTCGAGAAGCTTGTTCTTAACCCTTCGAGCAAGAGTGCGTTCTTCTCAGCAGTTCTCACTGGATATCCTGTTATTTCTCGCCAGCAGTCATGACTTGTCCGCAACTCAAGACTTGCCCCTTGCTCTGCGGCACAAACTGGGAGCCATAGACCGAGCCCTCAGGTATGGTGCATCCCTAAACCATTTGATTCAGTTTGAGTCAGTTCTCCCTCTCCCTCTCCCTTTCTCCCCCTCCCTCTCTTTGTCCCTCTCTCCTCCTCCCCCCCCCCCCCCCATGTGTGTGTGCGTGCCCACGCATGCGGGGGGAGCTGTGTTTTCTTTAGAAGACGCTGGGGGAGCACACGTTAAGTATAAATCATTGAGACATTAAGATGGGAGGACCCTGGGGCTTACTTTCATGCAAAGAGAAGTGCTTCATGTTTGCTGCTGGGAGTCTCAACTTCGAGGGCTCCTGGGGGAACATTTATTCCACTGAAGTTCAATTTTCTAAGTAGTGCCCTAGAAGGCTAGACGAACTTCATGCTGATGTCTTCATAAGAATGAACTCACTATCCTTTCCATGGGAAAGACTCACTTGGTCTAAACACTTGTGCCCCTCCTCTGTTAGTAAAATAAATAAATACTATGTTCTTTGTTGACCCTGATGATATTTTCGGTAAATCAGCACAATGTTGCCTGCATGGAAATGACTGACTGATTACACTGTATCTGTAGGTCTCGCTCTAGCATCATCACAGGTGAAAAGCGCTTGTCATATGAGCCAGTGTGCAGAGGACTAAGCACCCTAAGAGCAGGAACAAATCTATGTGAACCTTGCTGGTTGGACAGACACTTGATCCCTGCCCGGTACAGAGGAACCCTTTATTGTCCACTGAAGCTATTACACCTTGGGGTCAGGGCTTCATTGTCAAAGTCCTTCCAAAGTATTCTATCCTAACTTCAGAGAGCCAATCAGACTAGAGCCTCAACTCAACTTCAGATGGAACAGATAAATCAACAGCATCAGAAATGGGTTGACTACCAAGAATTTAGCGGTAACATTACTAAGTAATGTTAAGATTAGTTTAAATCCATGAGGTGCTCCTGAGGCTGAGAAATACATGGGATACAAAGAAAAAGATTTATTTTTTAAGGAAGCACAGCTTTAGTCATAGGTGGGGAATAGTTACGCAAGCAGCCCAGCCCCCGACCCCCGCTGTGAGACGTGACAGCCAGCAGCAAGGAATCCTCCACCAATTACATCTGGTGCTCAGAGCGTGCAAATCCCCCTGTGG